TCCTTCCCACGCTCTATAAGACCCGTATGATTTGCCCTGTGCGAATGCGGATGGACCGTGGGAAGAATGGGAGAAGGAGAAAAGGAAGGCAGATGGCAGATGGGACATTCTCAACTGGAGAAAAAGCATCAGGAAGCAATGACCTTTACCCTGTGGCCAGGTTAAATGCTCTATCACCAAAAGAAATGGGCACTGGAGGGTTGGGTTCAAGTATGGAAAAAATAAAGTTACATGATTGCACCGCAAAGTCTGCGACTTTGAAGTTTATAAGCATCACTTGAATAGGTAGTCTTATAAAACGTACCAAGGATATTTCCAGGAAGCCCTTGTGTAGGGAATTGAGTAAAGGGAAAAGAAAGTAGCATTTTCAGTGCTCCAGGAACTTAAAATTATGTCAGAATTAACTTCGTGCCAGAGCACAACTGGGGAGGCTTTGTAAATATTGACACATAAAAGGAGAGGTTTAAAGCACCCCTAAGATAAAGGCTGGAAACCTAAGGCCCTAATGGTTGGGGAAATCCTTCTCATTGCTTTCATTGTTCCGTTTCCTGACACTTCTAAAAGGTTGTGGAATCTCTCAATGGATTCATAAAAGAGTGGTGGCAGCCATTCATTGCTCGCAGAGAAGAGAGCTGGGTACTTGTGTGTAGAGCAAGGAGGGAGGTTTATTTTTTGTTGCATATCCTTTGAAATTTTACACAGTGTCTCCTGTTATCTATTCAAAAATTATTAATTTCAAGACCATTGAGTGTGATGTCAAACTATCGGTGGGGGTGGGGGTGGGGAGTCCCCGACCACCCTGCTAGTACCATGCCTGTCTTCCCCTAAAAAAAATGTTGTAACTTTCTCTTTTCCTCTAGACATATATATTTTACACAATTCTCAAATATCGAAAAATGAAAGTGTTGTCAATGTAGAGAACATCTATACTTGTAGAGAATTTGTGTGAGGTTATCTGAGCCAAACTGACAGCGGTTGCTGGGAGGCAGGATCTCAACGGAGGGAGAAGATGCTCCCAACAATGGCAGTTCTGCAGCGTTTTTTATACGTTAGAATCAGAGGAGGAGACGTAAAGAGGGTTACGTGACAGTAATTGGTAGTAGATTAAGGGGATGGGGAAAAGCCAAGTGGGAAATCTCTGAGACTGGGAAAAAGTAAAAGGGAGAGACACACTTCTTTTACATTGGTGGGCACAGGATAGTTAACATGTACTGCACATAGAGACGGTATTTGGGCAACAAAATAACAATGGGGTCTCACCCTCCGATGCCGGTAGTTGTGTGATTGAGCCTTTGATGAGTCAGGAAAAGAAAATTACTCTGACCTTCCAAAGGTACGTTATCTTAGTTGCACAAAGACAATAGACAGGCTCACTTAAAGGAAAAGATTAACCTTTGTTGAGGAAGCTACAGACCTAGGATATAACCCCCCCCCCCCCCCCCCCCCGCCATGACCCATGTGTAGTTAGGAATTTTAATGTTCCGACCATCCTACACGGTGCATTCGGTCTCTCAAGTCAGTAAGACCCATCATCCAGGTCTGCCCTTAGATCGCCAGGTGTAGTATGTGGCCCCTTTTTCGTCCACACTATTTAGAAAGTAGAAACATGCAGTCACAATTTTATCTCAATGTCTACGCCTTCTTCCTTTTTCTGTCTGCTTAGACTCAGTGGAACCCAAGAGGAGAGGTGTTACGAAGGGAGAACAGGTGGAGGCAGCTAGGAAAGAGAGGACAAGTCCCTGGGCCTGTGAAGGGTGAGTAGGGAAAGCCGTGCAGGACAGCCACGTGGCCGCTGGACCCAGCCATCAGGAAGAACTGGGGTTTCTTTCACCAGCCACAGCTCAGTTCACATCCTTGGTCCCTGCTTCTGCTGGTTCAGCTCCTGGCTTCCTTGAAGAAAAATGCGTATGTCATGGGAGCATCACTGAAAATTCTGGGTAGAGGTGAGGCAGGGAGAAGACAGTAAATCTGCACAAACCAGGACATGAGGAAACAGGCCCCCTCCTTTCTGGAAAAGGAAACGGGGAGGCAAGTCTTGCAACAGATTAGAAAAACATAGACCTGACTTTCAGAAGCTGCTCTACAAATAGTAGCTTCTGTCCCCTGACCTGTTCTGGTGCCAGCTCCCTCCCAGAAACCCAGAGAACCCTCCACTGAAAAGCCAAGTAAGGCGAACCAGCTCCCTAGCCTCAGGGGGGAAAAGGAAGTTTTATGAAAAGAGGAGAAAGGAAAAAACGAAATCTCATATTGTGCAACAGGCGAAGTTCCACATTGCCCCACCACAACGACCCAATGTCTTTGTAATTCATGGGTGAAGCATTTCTTCACCCAGGGTGTTCGGGCCTCCTGCAGCTTTCTCTGCGTTGCAGCTTCTGTGGAGTGGAGTTCCTCCCTCCTAGTTTGCTCAGGGGCAGAGAGGTGTGGGGGAAAAGATTCCACTGTGAGGGAAGATCTGACCCTAATCTTGTCCTCTCTAATAATAAAACCAGAGACAGATCACAGCTCTCTCTGCTCTAGACTTCATTTGACAAGTGAGAGGGTAGAATCTTCCAGATAGATAATCCAATGTTCCCCCACCTTCAGAGTTTTAAGAAGAGTCCAGCTTCCTCTTAACAGGGCTGATGGGTTTTGTACCCCTCGATGAAGCCTCAGCCCTCATTCTGAACTGCTGACTCAGACTCTCATCTTGAGATGTCTCACCTCATTATAGACCATGGCCTTGAAATGCATCCACTTCACCCTGGGTTTCTCCTGCAGGGAAGTTTGTCTCGCCTCCTAGAATGTTCCATTACATTTCACCCTGAGCTAGAGGAAGCCACTGGCAGTGACTCTTCAGTTGGTGATTGTTTTAGCTTTCTATTACTGTTGTAACAAATTACCATAAACTTGATGTCCTGAAACAGCACACATTTATTCTCTTAAAGTTCTGGAGGTCAGGACTTTCGGTCAATATGGCGGCATAAGTATATGCAGCACTCACCTCCTCCCACAACCACATCAAAATCACAGCTAAACTACAAAACAACTATTGTTCATAACTACCTGATAGCTGGCCAAATGGAAGTCCTACAGCTAAGGATTTAAAGAAAAAGCTGCATCGGGATTGGTAGGAGAGATGAAGACATGGAGCAGGCTGGTCCTACACCCACGTGTGATAGATAAAAATTGGGAGGGATGTCTGAGCTGTGAAGTTTCCCCCTGAGGAACAAGGGGCCCCAGTTCCATTCCACACACCCCCTCTCCCATCCCAGGGTTCTAGTGCCAGGAAGAGACATCCCTATAACTTCTGGCTGTAAGAACCAGCAGAGATTGTGGCTGGGTGAGATGGAAGGCTTCTGCAGTCCCAGGCATTCCTCTTAAAGGGCCTGCACATGAACTTACTTGTACTCACTTCCTCTGAGCTCCAGTGCTGGGGCAGCAGCTCAAAAGGCACCAGGAACACTCTGGGAGGAAATGAATTGTCTGGCATCAGGGCAAGAGCTACAGGGACAGCTTTCTCCCACACAGAAGTGCTGGCAGAGGCCTTTGTTCCTTTGATAAGTCCTCCCCACCCAGAGCTGGCAGGTGGGTGCCATATCTGAGTCTCTATCAACCTGGCTCACATTGTTCGCCTGGCCCTGGTGATTCCCTGAGGCCCTGCCCGACTCAGCTTGTGGGCCCACCAAGCTGTTTCCAGTGGTTTTTCCATATAAATGGCTCATGCTTCAGATTTTCTCAAACAAGCAGCCTCTGGCCACAGTGTGCCCCATACCTCTTGCTAAGTGGCCTTTAGCAAGTCACTTTTCAGTCCTTGGCAGTCAGTTTTCACAACATGAGAGGGCCAGACAAGATGGTCTGAGCAGTTCCTCCCAGCTTTAATAGACTAGAGTTCTGTGTTCTGTAGATCAAGGCTTGATTGTGCACGTAATTCTGCCTCAGCGCCCTGTTCTGATTCATGTAATAGGAAGTTCTGATGGGAAGGTTATTAAGGAGACACAGCTGTAGGTTACTCCCACAACACTCCAGAACCAAATCTGACATTCATCCTTCTGTCCTCGTGATAACACTCCACCTTTGCTTTGGGCTTTAGAGAGTTGGTCCGCTAACTAATCTAATCCACATGATGACGCCAGGAAGATAGACACTATGCCCACCACAAGTGAAAAAGATAAGGCTCAGGGAGGGAAAGGGAGAATCTCCCAAATGTCAGACCCTGTGATGGCTGCTTTACCCGTTACTTCATAACAGTCCTTCAAAGTGGAATCTATTACTCCCACTTTACAGATGTGAAAGTTGAGGTCCCACAAGGCAAGGTGATTTTCCTAATGGTACACTGTTAATGTGATGGAGGCCCACTTTTCTGACTCTGAGCTACTTCTTCTTCCCTCTACATTGTGCTGCTGCTGCAATTTACAACTTCTCTACAAATATTGAAATGATAATTGTAGCATCACAGCTCTCCTTCTGGATCATCCTTTCATGGTGCTCTGCAAATAGACCTACAAGATGAGTAAGTTACATCCCCTCTGTGCCTTGGTCTCCTCATCTGCAAAATTGAAAGTCAGAGTCCCTACTTCATGAGGATGTTAAACCCTTGTTGAAAGTATTAAGTCAAATGTTGTCTTTAGCGCATTTAGCCCATATGAAGTCCTCAGTAATTGCTCATTCTTGTTGTGTTTGGAAATGGTAGTTTGTCCCTATTCATAATACCAGGCAATCCCTTTCACATCAAATCAAATGAAAACACAAAGTAACTGTATTTTTGTTTTTTTAGTTTTATTATGAAAACTCACAGAATCACCTGCATTACCCAAGTATCCACAATAGCGGAGGAAGAGTGATAGTGGACCATCCCCATGGGGGATAAGTGTCCTTTGGTAAAACCAACATAAATTATGGAAGTAACTCCAAATACAATAATACAGCACATAATAAAGATTAAATTAAGAGAAAGAATGGGGACTCCTGAGAGGAGAAATGAATGTGGAGAGGGTGCATCTCACTGCGGAGTGTCGGGTTAAGCGGCCTTCCCCAACAGTCTGGCCAGCCCTGTGCTGGGTGGCTCAGCTCAGTTCGAGTTCGTGTATGTACTCCTGGACCCAGGGTTCACTGGGGTTGGCGCAGACTTGTTTGCTCCTTCTGGTCTGGAATCTGTGGGAAGAGGAGTGGATAGATTAGAATTGCACGGGACCCTGTCGGTAGTAGATGTTTCCCTCCGCTTGACCACAGTTCCTGTTGGACAGCTCCAGTGGATGGCAAGACCCTTCCTGGGGTCGTACTGGAAATGGGTTCCTTGTAACTTCCACCCTGGATTTAGCTGTGGTCTCAAGGTTGCCCAGATTAAGAACTAGTGAGTTTTAGAATCAATTTTGCTATATTTCTCCATTCATTTCCTAGTACCCCTGGCAATATCTTTTCCATGTGTTTCTCTAAGCATGGTTTAGGAGAGATCAGATCACATTTCCTGCGATTTTTTTTTTTTTTTTTTACCTTCCCTGGTTTTCTATCCTCTGGCTAACTTCCTCCCGAAGAACCCCCCATCTTCTCCCTGGACTTCCACATAGCCCTGTCCAGAACTCAGCAGGTGACTTCATAGCCTGTTCCTTGGTGTTGTCTGGGAGGGCTTCAGCCCTGAGACCTGTCTCCCCACTGTGAGATCCTCTACATGCCCCAAACAAGCCTCTTATCTAATCCTGCTCTTGCCCTCGCCTCCCAGAGCAGCCCAGGGCTTGATACTTACACAACGGCTGGCTGGGAGCAAAGGCTGCTGGTCTCGTAGTAATCCACCACGAAGTTGCGAGGAAGTTTCCTCTGGGTGTAAGTGAAGCAGCAGGCAGTGGGAGGGTCTGAGCCCACTGGAAAGAAAGGCCCAGGTGAGATCAAAGCTCTATGAGGAGCTGCTCTTTTGGCTTTTAGTTCTGGAAATGCAAGGGGCATCTCTGTGGAGCTACCAGATTCCCAAATACCGTTGCTTGTGTCCAATCCCACCCACCCTGAGTAGGAGTCTTTTTCTGAATACAGGATCCTAAGGGAGGATCACAGAGCTGGATTAGGTCTCAGAACACACGTCGAACTCCCTTCATTTAACAGATGGGGAAATTAAGGCACAGAGAGAGAGACAGGAAATTGCTTTAAAAAGTCTCCTAGTTACTATTTCTTAAGAAGACAGGAACTTGAATATCCTGAATGTCTACTAGACACAACATTTAACCGCAGGCTAGTCAAAAATCTTCCCAGCTCCCTTTTGTCCCATCCCCGGATGCCACTGTGGGACCAGCCTCAACTACAAAATTGGGCACTGCCTACACCATGGCTCTAGAACTAGTAGCTGAAAGGACACACTTACTTGGTGCTGAGAGTGCTGGAGAGAAGAAGGCAGCCCCTAGCACGAGGAGAGAGAAGACAGTCACACAGAGCTTCATGGCCTTGGCAGAGAAGAGGCTTGCCCGGAGCTGAGGCAGAACCCAGAAGCTTTAGAACCCAGCTGTGTTCTGTGCTGATACTGGGTTGGTGTCCCCTCTTTATAGGACCTCCAGGGACTGGGACAGAGGTGGGGACACAGGAGGGCAAGTGGAATTTCCAGGGTAGAGATGATGTCATGGCACTACTAAGGAAACTGAAGCTAGCTGACCGTGAGGAGCTCAGAGCTCCGCACAGCTCCTCTCTGGGGGCCCCTCCCCCCCCCCCCCCTCCCCGCACAGCTCCTCCCCGGGGCCCCTCCCCCGCCCCCCCCCCCCCCCCGCCACCGGCGATGTCATCTCAGTAAGAAGGAGGGGAAGAGGGAAGTGGTGCACCGAAGGCAGTGACAGGCGGAGCCTGGGGAGAGCATTGTAAACCCGAGAGGAAGGATGGAACATTCACACCTGCTAGATGGGCCTTGTAGACTAAAACCATGCCACTGTTGGTGGTTGGCACCTCCAGAAGCTGGAGGCTTCATGTCACTGTTTCCATGGTTGCCACAAGCATGGCCCCAGGCAGGAAGGGGGTGCCAGGACTCCAGGTCACATTCCTGGGCCTCCTTCTCCTGGGCTGAGTGACCTTAGTGCCCTAAATGTTTTCTCGGGCATAAAGAGTCCAGCATTGAATGTGCAAAAGGACCCTGCAGGACAATAATCTATTTGTCAAACCTTTACTATGCACCACGCACTGAACAAGCTGCCTTAGACACATAATGTCAAATCCTACCCTGACCCTGAGCAGGGGTGTGGTTATTCCCCAGAGGCATTGAGGACAAAAGAACAGAGGGGAGTTCGCTGATAATCTCAAAGCCCCAGTCTTTGGGTGGCAGTGCCCAGATTGGAAATCAGGCTTTTCTGACTCTAAAATTCATTTTCTTTCTAACTTATGGTCACAAATACAGCATGTGACCACAGAGAGAGAAACTGTTGCCCACTAGGGGCTTTGCCACACACAAGGAACCATCTTACTAAGGCTGAATTTGAGGGGGGTCGGGGGGGGGGAGTTTAGGTCAGCCTGTCCTAGAACAAGGCGGGGGCAGAAGAGGAACGAAAGTAAGCTCTCAGCATATTCAGTTGGACCCATAACAGAAAAGAGGAAAGAAATCAGTGAGAATAAGGTTTGAAAGACTCAAGATAAAGAATGTTCCTTTATAACTTATGAAGAGACCCCCCCAAAAAAATCCAACACCTATCTGACACAATGTGTAGTTATCGCAGTATTACTGACTATATTCCCTACGCTGTACTTTACATCCCTGTGACTATTTTGTAACTACCGATGTGTACTTCTTAATCCCTTCACCTTTTTACCTTTGTAAGTTATGTAAATGTCTAAACACTATGCTGTACACCTGAAACCAATGTAAAATAATATTGAATGTCAGCTGTAACTAAAAAATAAAAAAAGGAAAACAGAATGTTTCTCTAGTATAAACATGAGATTGGATATACCTAGCAATGAGTTTACCTGTGTTACAGATAAAACGTGTAATCTAAGCATGTGGGTGTTTCCCAGCCATCTTTAGGGGGTTCCTCATGTTGATGTAAAGCCCTGCCTGGTTTGGCAGCTACTTTCTGGGGTTCGGGGGAACTTCAGCCCTGAGACCTGAAGCTGACACGAAGGGGACTCAGTGAAGCCCACTAAGGCCAGGAATACAGCAGAGCAGGCAGCGGGCAAGTGAGGGTGATTAGGACGACTGGGTCAGGCTCTCTCTCCACCTTCGGCTCAGCCACCTGACCCGCCCTCGCACCCAGCCCCACGCTGCTACCTGCCTCTGCTCTGGGAAAGAAGAATGAAGAGTGGAAACAGGAAACCAAGCCGCCTGGTATGGCAGAGAGATGGATGGGGGTGTAAAGCAGCATCTTGGGGTACGTCAGAATCACTTAATACAGTACAATGTCATCCTACCTCATACCAAGCCTCCACCCCCCACCCCCCACGCACACGCACAGGACTTCTTTCCTCCACCCTTTCTGTCCTCACCCTTTTCTTTGTGCGAGTCCTGCTTCACACGCTCTGATCTTCACCAAGACCCCTGTCCCCAGCTCTAATGTTCTCTGATCCCTGGCATCACATATGCCAGTTTCACTCATGGTCTCTCATGGTTGGTGGAGTTTCATTGTCATGTATCAAGAACCGTCCTTTAAGGGAAAGAGCATGTGTCCTATGTTCCCTGGGATTTACACAGACTTTACTTTTCATGCCATTTCCACTCAACCCAATTTAGAAGTCACCGGCTTTTTCGTCAGGGAAGGCAGAGCAGAATAGACAAAGAGCTCTTAGTCTAGTGATGTTGTCAACACTGAAAGAAATAACTATCCCATGAGATGGAATAAAGGGTGTGTCACATCCGAGGGAGAAACAAAACGTCCGAGCATCCCTCTGCTCCAAATCAAGTCTAAATCCCACTGTGTGCTAAGGAGGATCCCTTGACATGGAGAACTCCACCTAAATGAATGCGGTGTGCGGATCTTCCGGCTGTGGAGGGACTTTGAAGATGCCTGCTCTGGGGCAATCGGAGAATGACGATAGATAAAATGCGTGATGAGCCTGCGTAGAGCCACACCATGAGTTTGACTGTGGACTGTTGCTTCTAGTCTTGGTTTGAGCTTTGGCTCACGGAGGAAACATGTTTTGTTCCTGAAGGTCCTAACAACAATGTTGTGTACGCAAATTCTACACTATGAGTACAAAGGGCTTGCCAGTATATTTAGCTTTATCAGTGGCCTCCAAGTTTTATATATTGAGGGCATGTCTAAGTCATAGGTGAGAGAGAATGATAATAAATGCCTCTCAAACACATAACAACAGCAACAGAAAGTGCTCATCGTCTCCAGAGAACCTCCCTGGCCTCTCCTCTAACAGATCTCTGCATCTATCTCCTCTGCGCTCCTACAGCCCTGAGCCACCTCCATCATGATACCTCTGATGTATCTACGTGGTTCCCTCCCACACTGGAAAACGAGCTCCTTGATGCAGAAAACACATTATGCTTATCTCGGTGTTCAGTAAATACTTGTTTAATAAGTGTCCAGAGGCAGCCCCCACTACCAGTTTGAAGGGGAGGGGGCGTGGTAGGTATCAGGGACTCAGAATGAGAACTCTGTTCAGCTAAGTGAAGTGAGAATGAACGTCGCCTCCTGACACTCTATTCAAAACATGATTCTCCAGCCCCGATGAGGTGGAGATTCCCTTCCTTTCCCTGCTCTAATCCCACAAACCCAGTAGTTTCACTGCAAGGGATACTATTCTGGGACTTAAGTCTTTCCAGCTCAGGGGTGTGAGAAGTAACAGCAGAAATTCACCAGGGTTTCAGGAAGCCCCAAATATATTCTGTGTTTCACGCACCCCCTTGCTCCAAGGAAACCTTTCACTTCCCCTCACTCGTGACAACCTAGAGGTTTCCCCTTCTAGACTCTTGATTTTCACTGTTCTCATAATTCCATTCTGGGAACTTTCACATCTGTTTTTTCATTTTGTCTGCCCAGACTCCATAAACTGCAGGCAGGAATGGAAATCCCCGCAGTAATATGACCTGGCAAAGGCCCTGATACTTTTTTTTTTAAACATTTCTTTTTATTTTATTTATTTATTTTATATTTTATTGATTATGCTATTATAGTTGCCCCAATTTTTCCCCCTTTGCCCCCCTCCTCCCGGTTCCCCCTTTCCCTCCAGTAATCCCCTACCTTAGTTCATGTCCATGGGTTGTGCATGTAAGGTCTTTGGCTTTTCCATTTCCTACACTGTTCTTAACACCACCTGTCTATTTTGTACCAACCAATTATGCTTCTAAATCCATATACTTCCCCCCATCCTCCCCCTTCCCCCTCCCAGCTGATAATCCTCCAAATGGTCTCCATATCTATGATCCTATTCCTGTTCTAGTTGTTTGCTTAGTTTGTTTTTGTTTTTAGATTCAGTTGTTGATAGTTGTGAGTTTGTTGTCATTTTAATGTTCATAGTTTTGATCTTATTTTTTTTTCTTAAATAAGTCCCTTGAACATTTCATATAATAAGGGTTTGGTGATGATGAACTCCTTTAGCTTTACCTTGTCTGGGAAGCACTTTATCTGTCCTTCAATTCTAATTGATAGCTTTGCTGGATAGAGTAATCTTTGTTGTGGGTCCTTACTTCTCATCACTGTGAATATTTCTTGCCAATCCCTTCAAGCCTGCAAAGTTTCATTTGAGAAATCAGCTCATAAGTCTTATGGGAACGCCTTTGTAGGTAACTCTCTGCCTTTCTCTTGCTGCTTTTAAGAATGTCTCCTTATCCCTAACCTTTGACATTTTAATTATGATATGTCTTGGTGTGGTCATCTTTGGATCCAACTTGTTTGGGACTCTCTGTGCTTCCTAGACTTCTTTGTCTGTTTCCTTTGCCAAATTAGGGAAGTTTTCTTTCATTATTTTTTCAAATAAGTTTTCAATTTCTTGCTCTTCCTCTTCTTCTGACATCCTTATGATTTGGATGTTGGCATGTTTGGAGATGTCCCAGAGTCTTCCCAAACTCTCCTTGTGTTTTTGCATTCTTATTTCTTCATTTTGTTGGGGTTGAATGTTTATTTCTTCCTTATGTTCTAAATCATTGATGTGAATCCCAGCTTCTTTTTCCTCACTGTTGGTTTCCTATGGATTTTTCTTTATTTCCCTTAGTAGAGCCTTCATTTCTTCCCTTATGCTTTTGCCATATTCAATGAGATCTTTGAGCATTCTGACCACCAGTGTTTTGAACTATGCATCTGATAGGTTCGCTATCTCTGCATCACTTAGTTCTTTTTCTGGGGTCCTGTTCTGTTCCTTCATTTGAAGGTCCCGGTACTTTCGATTTTTCCCCGCATATTCTAGTCTATAGTTTTATCTGATCCCAATCTGTTTTGCTGTTGTATAGGTTAGGAAACAATACCTAGAGAAGCTAACAGATTTGATCAAGGTCACACAGGATGTGCGTTAAGACCCA